CAGGGACGTCCCGTCTTCTTCCAGCGAGACAATGAGACACATTGTGACGTGTTCCAACAGCGTGTCTCCGTAGTGACAGAGTGCAGGTACCAGACTGACCTGCCTGCAGTCCACACCTGTCTCCCACTGAACATGTGTGGAGCATGATGAAGCGTCGACCTCGGAGAGGTGCATCATGGGACTGTTGAGACACTGAAGTCAGATAAACTTCAACAGTTAGTGTCCTCAGTTCCCAAACACTGACTGAGGTGATGATGTCACACAGTGACAGGAAACAGGCTCCTGTCACGACTTCATTACAACCTGCTGCAGAGTGAGTGCAGATTTACACAGAACAATAAAGTTTATCAGTTTGAATATTAAATCAATCTGGGCTGTGAATCCATATTTAATATAGATTTAAGAAAGATTTACAGATGTTGTGTAACTTGACTTCACATCAGAAACTTTACAGATTATTATTACAACATAAACTAATGATGATGTAATTTTATAGAATAAACTATGTATTCTCAGTGTCATCAGCACTGTCAGAGAAGAAGAAGAAGAAGAAGAAGAGTTCTTCCTCTGTGGTGTCTTATTTTGGACTTTCTTGTAAACTTGCAGTGACACATTTATTTTGACAGGAACAGGAAACTGAGCTCATTTAGACCCGAGACAGTTTGAACCGAGGCCTCGAGCTCACTTTCTGTACGCGCGTGCGTGAGTGGGAAGAAAGCGCGCGACACAGAGAGAAACAAAACCGTTGGTTTATTTCGATACAGCTCGCTGTGTGTGTGTGTGTGTGTGTGTGTGTGTGTGTGTGTGTGTGTGTGTGTGTGTGTGTGTGTGTTGGGGAAACAGTCCTCCTATTTCCCGTCATCATCTTCATCACCATCAGCGCGCGCTTCCTCCGCCCGCCGCTCTGAATTCTACGAATTCCTCTCGCGCGATTTAAATATTCATGACGTGACGTAAACCGTAGCTTGAATGTGATTGGCGGGCCGTTCAAAACATTGAGCACACGTCTGAGCGCTGATTGGACAGAGTCAGGCGCGAGGGGGGGTATAAATACTGAACAAAACAGTAACGTAAAGCAGAAGGCGGTCAGATGAGTCAGAGCAGAAGTTTAGGAGATTATTTTAACGTTTGATCAGTTTCAGCTGCAGAAATTAACTTTAATTGTAGTTTTCTTCGCTGACGTTGGATTAAAAAGCTTTAAGCGGGAAACAGACGGAGGCGTCGGTCTGTTCAAAGCGGAATAACGAGTTTTAAAATCGACCACAAAGGAATTTAACCGACGACACGATGGATTTTATCAACTGCAACTGAAAGTATTCACAAAATGTTTGAGAAAAGAGTCGCAGAGTTTGAAGTGGAGGAGGTCAGAGGGAAAAACGGTAAGAAACACTACATTAAAATAAAAATACGTTTAATATGAAACGAAGCAGGTTAACGGAGATAACGTGACTTTATCAGATTTAATGTTCACCATGTGTTTTACTTAAACTGCTACTGTCTGTGTTTAGGCTTCAGCCAGATTACATTCAAAATATAACGACTTCTAAAAGTCCAGATTATCGTTTAAACAAACAACCGTCGGTTCCGTTAAATCGGTAACTTTTCCTTTCGTTGTCGGTTCGGCTCAGATGAAACGGTTCCCATTGTTACTGGACTTTATTTTAACACTTAAACGTCTCACCTGTTTAACATCAAACGTTAAAAATGAAACTTTTGAAATGCTTTAAAATCAAACTGAGAAACGTTTAACTCCTGGGATGAAACTGAGAAATAAAAAACTTTGCAGCAGCTGAATTAAAGTTTATCTTTCAGTATAATCAGTTTCTTTTGTTTGCTTGAAACTCGTTTTTCTTTTTGTCACACAGCAGCAGGGCGCCAACAGTCACAACAAACAAACAAACAAACAGTGTAAATGTTTACACTGATAATCCTCCTCAGTGACGTGTGCAAACATTATTTCATCTAATTCAAACTTTTCCTTTGTCAACTTTATTTTCTGTTTTCAGACTTTATTCTTTAATTTTATTTTTGTTTATGTGAGATAAACATCAGTCTGTAAACAAACTGGTGTCACAGGTTGTGAGTCAGTGGTGAAATATGTCTGTCACAGTTTGTCAGAGTCAAAGGTCACATGATAAACAAGTCTGAAATCCAAAAATATTCAGTTTACTGTGATGACTAACAGGAAGTCATCTCACTGAGGATGAGCTGGAGACGCTGTGGAAACACGAGCAGTGATGTAAAAGTTTCTCAGCACGATTTATTTCTTAAATATTTCCTTTGTGTCAGTGTGAGGGTGAAATGAGCCGCTGATGACCACAGAGACAGACGACAGATAAACATCAGTGTAACGCAGGGCCAGGACGTGTCTGATGGTTTCAACCTGCCGTCTTTGTGCAGGTTAACTTCCATATAATCATGTGTGTATAAGATGTTGACAGCTGACTGATGTTGTGTTTTCTCTCGTCTTCAGTGAAGGAACCGTTCTGCAGTCAGTATCGCTGTGGTCCTCTGCTCGGCAGCGGCGGTTTTGGTTCAGTGTTTTCAGGCCAGAGGCTCTCAGATGGACTGCAGGTCAGACTGCGCCTCACTCACACCTTTACTCCTGCACCTGCCTCCAGTCTTTGTTTTATTTCAGTTCCATATTTATTTTTAAATTCTATTTTAAGCCTGTGAAGCAGTTTGTTTTTGAAAGATATTAGTTGTTGTGTATTCTTCAGGTGAACTTTAATCTTGCACAACAAGAGGAGGAAATGATGTCACTGTTCTGCAGTTACTGCTGCTGTAAATGTAAACAGGTTGTTCCTCCTTTTTGTCCCTCCAGGTTGCCATCAAACAGATTTCCAGTGACAGAGTTCAGCAATGGGCCAGACTGGTGAGTGACACAACTATTATTTTTATCACTAGTTCAGTCTGAAGTGTCTGGAAACAGTTTGTCAGAGTCCAAAACCCAAATAAATTCCGTTTACTGTGACATTAAACTGAGTCTGACACACTGAGGTTTGAATTTAGCTTCAAAAATGTCTCAGTCTGTGACTCAGTGATGAGCTGACAGTTATCAGCTGCACATAAAGTTAAACCTTTGTTTATCTTTTTAATTAAACTGCGTTGAGACTCAGCAGAGACACAGTCCTCGGGGCAGCTCTGCCCTCTGCTGGTCAGACAGGTGAATCACAGCCGTAGGTGGGGGCCAGCCCCTCAGTTCCCACGGAAACCTATGAGGTCATGGTTCAGTAAATGACGCCGCAGGATTTCCCCTCAGTGACAAACTCATTTCTAATTCATCACAGCTTAAACTGGGAACTCCCCTCACCACAGTAAAAACACCTGAACACACCTGCAGGTGCAGATCAGGGCAGAAAAACACCCAGAGACACTAAACTGGAGCTTCTGTGTGAAACTGTGACAAATAAAAAATAACTGCATGACTCATAATAACAGGCGGGGATTTTTTTTTTGCTTATCTCAGGTGTTATTTTTATGATGAAGTTTTATTTATGTGAACTTTACCTGACTGAGTTATTAAAAGTATCTGACGTATTTATCACAGCAGACATTAATATTAATATTATTATTATTTTATCATAAAAAGTTTTTATAAACTTTAATTTGTTTGTTTCTGTGTTTTTATTATTTATGTTCGGATCAGTAAGAAATCAAACTTCCTTAAAAGAACAAAAATATTCAGGTGTTTTTCTCCTTTATGGAAATAAACAAATATATTTGTGTGTTTTGGACTTTTGGCTCTAACAAAGACAGACGTGTGTGTTAGTGTGGCGGCTCATGTTCATCGTTCTCTCCTCCCTCAGCCCGGTGAGGTCGGCCCTGTTCCCATGGAGATCGCTTTGCTGCAGCGGCTGTCAGACGTCGGAGGTCACGGGGGCGCCATCCGCATGCTGGACTGGTTCGAGGTGGAGGGGCGGGGCTTCCTGCTGGTTCTGGAGCGACCGCCTCAGTGTCAGGACCTGTTCGACTTCATCACAGAGAGAGGAGCGCTGCCCGAACGCCTCGCCCTCAGGTACTGACTCTTTCCTGTCTGACAAGGACTCATAATTCTTATTTGTGATCTCGTCTGTTCTGTGGTGTTAAAGCTCTCTGTGTTTTTGTTCGCGTCAGGTTCTTCCGTCAGATTGTGGAGGCGCTGCGGTTCCTTCACGCCCATGGCGTCGTGCACCGAGACATCAAGGACGAGAACATCGTGGTCGACACTAGGACGCTGGACGTCAAGATTATCGACTTCGGGTCAGGAGCTCCGCTCAAAGAGACGCCGTACAGCGAGTTCGAAGGTAAAGAGACAGAAGATTAAAACTATGTTCTGATAATGTTCTAATGTAATAATTGAAAAATTATTGATCGTAGCAGCTGCAGACTGTACTGACTCCTCCTCCTCCTCCTCCTCCTCAGGTACTCGAGTCTACAGTCCTCCTGAGTGGATCCTGTCTCAGTCCTATGACGCCGTCCCTCTCACCGTCTGGTCTCTGGGCGTCCTGCTCTTCGACATGGTGTGTGGCGACATCCCGTTCGAGCGCGACCAGGAGATCGTCAGGGCCACGCCCATTTTCACCAGAAGGGTCTCTAAAGGTGAGCAGAAGCTCCGCCCACCACTCTGTCCTCTGTGCAGATGAGATGGGTGTCTTCACCCTGTTCTGTCCTGCTGTCACATTTAATCACAGTCTCACATCACCTTTTACAGAATGCCAGTCTCTGATTCGCTGGTGCCTGTCCTACCGTCCAGAGGAGCGTCCAACTCTGGAGGAGATCCTGTCTCACGCCTGGATGGAGGGAGGAGACAGGGAGGAAGAGGAGGAGGAGAGAGGAGACCTGCAGGAGGACTGCAGCTCTCTGCCCAGCCAGTCTCTGTGACTGCATAACCTGAACATACAGGGACGGACACGACCCTGAGTCCACGGGCCCCTGGGTGAATAAACACAGACCCTGAGTAAACATGTCGTCTTCTCTGTACGTCTCTCTGATGGTGGACGTCTCTCTGATGGTGGACGTCTCTGACAGGACTGTGGCTGATCTGAGACTGTTCCACTCTCGGCCAGCAGGGCGGCAACACAAACTAAAACCTCACACTGGATTTTAAAGGAGCAGTTCAGAGTTTCCTTCGTGTTTTAATCTGTTGACCTCACTTCCTGTGAAATCACGATGAAGGTCAAAGTGTTCAGTTTGCTCATTGAAGAGTTAACGGGTTGAAACGTGGAGGAAACTCTGCTGTGATCCGTCACAAACTATATTTATTTAGATTTTTGTTTCCTCGTCACACTGCAGTCAGCTGATTACTTTTTTAAGTTATAATTTATCTGTTGGTGAGCGCAGCAGAAACACTTCCTGTTGAGGTATTTATTTAGTATTTATGTTTTGTATTGAAGATATAGACCTTTTTTTTCTGCATCAGAGAACACTGAACAAACTGCAGACACTCTTTAGTTGTTACCTCCGTCACAGATGATCCAGGTCACAGAGTAGAAACCAGCTGGTGTGTATGAAGATATGAACATCAGCTGTTCACCTGTGGAGCTTCAGTTACAGGTGAACATCTCACCAGGTGTCTCTGGCCTTTTTCACACAGAGGGAGCCGCTGCGAGGCCCCTCCTCCACGCCGCCTTTGAATTTTTACACAGAACAAATAAAAGAAACTTCACCTGATACTGATCTCTATTCCTCCGTAGAGTCAAACTCCACAGACCTTTAACAGCACACGTCCCCACAGTGACACACCTGTCAAAAAATGTTTGAAAAATGTTTGAGTGTGTTCAGTGACGCTGGAGCAGCAGCAGTCAAATTAAACTAAAACGCAGGAAGTTAGTTTGACGTTAAAGTCAGAACTTTAATTTAACGTAAAGACAAAGAGATTTTATTTTTATTTTTGATTCCTTTTCAGATGAAAACCAGTGACGGCGTTGATGTTCAGATGTGACCTCACTGTAAATACTTGTGTATTATCGTCTGGTTTTATGATCAAAGTGGCTCATTGGTCACTTGTTGCTGTTTATTTATATTAAATAGGAATTTATGGATCGAAAGAAGAAAAAAAAGATCCAGTGTTTGAATAAAACAGTTTTTGTCACTTCATCATGTCGTGTTGTGTTTTCTCTCTGACACTGCATTACCCACAATTCATAGTGTTTAAAACAAGAATGAGCAGGAGAACAACTTTAAACAGCAGCTTTATATTGAACACATGTATAAACATATTTACACATTTATAGTAAACACGTACATTGTTTTAACATCAGTGTGAAAATTCTGAGTCTTTAAAAACAGCAATATTTTCAGATTAAAATCTCAAGACGTCACAAACCTGCAAAATATCAACACTAATTCTCTGGTGACGTTTATCATGAAGCAGACGCGTTGAATTACGTCACATTAATTTAGCGTCCTACAATAAATGAATTTAAATCATGTAGGTGTGACATTAATTCAAAGTGAGTTAAACTTTATAAACTGATCCCAGCATGTTCTGCTGCCTCTGAAACTGGCCTTCATATTTGACACCAGCAGGTGGCGCTGAACATCCACAGCATCTGACAGGTGAGGTGTTCCCGCAGCAGCCAATGGGATTCCTTCAGTTTAACCTGCAGGAGAACAAGGAAGTGATTGTTGTCAGGAGGAGCAGAGAGGAGGAGCAGACAGAGGTCTCACTCTGACTGTTTTCTCACTGACACTTCACACTTGAGCCTTCTGTTTGATTTCTGTGCTGGAAACATCTCAGTTAGGTCAGGTTTTCCTCCTCAGAGTGATCCCTCCTGTTAGTCAGTCCTATCTCTGCAGCTGTAGTTCTTCACTTCCTGGACACCTCAGCTCCTCCACTCTGTGTTTTCATCACGGTGCTGCAGGTTCGTGCTCCCCGGGCTCCTCTAACCTCAGCTCCGGCTTCATATCCGTCTGACAGCCGCGGCTGTCTCCCGCCTCAACCCGGACAACGAACCGGATCTCCGGCTGGGTCTCAAACTGTGAGCCGGGGGAGCTAGCTGGGAGGCTAGCGGAGCGTTAGCCGAGCAGTAGCGGGGTGAAGGCTCGGTCCGGACGGCGGGCAGAGGGAGCGCAGCATGGCCGGAGGAAAGCACATCCAGGCGGCGGAGGAGAGGGCAGCGAGCCGGGGTCAGAGCGAAGGTGAGCGGATCAGTCCGGGGAGGGAGGACCGGGGGATGGGTTAACTTCACACGGCCCGCACGGCTCTGAAACTGGGGTCACCTGGTACCTGCATGATGGGAGCACTGGTGTGTTGATAGTTAAATAATAATTATTTATTATCTGTCGATGAATTTAAACAAACTAACACAGATTGTTTGAGTGTGAAGCTCCGTGGGAACACACAGGGCGCTAACGGTTAGCTAACTAGCAGCTAACTACCCAAACTTAGCTGACTGAATGGTGACGGTCATTACTCTGGAAAGTTAACCAGAAAAGTTAACTAGCATATCGACTAACTAATTATTAAACATCACTCCACGTGTTTAACAAGTAAAGATAATGTCGGTATTTTAATTTAAACTGAAATGAAGTGTTAGCATGTTAGCACAGGGGGAGGCTAACGCACCAGGCTAGGCTAACTCCACTGTTTACTTATCTAAACTAGTGTGTGTATATGTGTGCAGCTAACAGAGCCCTCAGTGTCAGGGCATGTTGTTGGTCTGAGGTTCCACAGCTAATGCTAATGCTAACACACCGACACACAGCTTTATTACAGGTGAACACACCAGGTGTGTGTGAGTGGTGCACTGTCACAGAGCTGGCAGCTGGTGACGTGGAGGTTTGGTTCAGGTGGGGTTGGTGTGGTCAAAACACACACACACACACACACATAGACACAGTGTGTTGGCTGGTCACACCTGTACGGCTGCTGCAGGTAACCCTGAGGCTCTGGTGGTGTGAATGTGTCTTCAGGTTTGTCCGCATTCATTCTGTTGTGTTCAGGAGCTGCAGGATGTTTCTGTGTTATTAACCACTCAGTGGGGCAGAGAGAGTATTCAGATACTTTACTGCAGTAACAGTACTAACATCACTCCACTACAAGTTAAAGTCCAGCATTTAAAGCCTCAGTGACAGTATCGTCAGTCAAATGTAGTTAAAGTTAAAGTCAGCATGTTTCAGTCTGTGTTTCCCTACGAGAAGCATCAGGGTCGTGTTTAATGGCAGCTATGAATGAAATGTGTTATTAATATTATTATATCTCTTCCTCTGCTGGTCCTCTGACCACCTCTCACCTCAGCATCACGGGTGTCAGGTCTGCTCCCAGACTCTGTATCCTCAGATACACTCACCTGTTCAAACCCTCGGATGCACCCTACCACTGACTGAACCCTCCACACACTCACCTACGTGTCTTTAACAGTATTACTGGTTTTATCCCAGCAACTACGTGTATGTGTCGGCCCAGTCCACGTCTCCTGCTCTATACGTTATTTTATGCTCTGTAAGGAGACCGTGGGTGTTTGGAAAGATGTTGAGAAACAGAAGTCATACTCAGTGTTTAAACTGGTTTATTTATGTGTTTAATCTTGTAATATTGTGATTTTATTCTCCTAAAGTGTGTCTTTAGTGTAAGTTAAAGCAAGTCAACTTTGACTGCAGGGTTGCAACGAGATAACCACCTCAGAGAATATCACAGTGTCACAGGGTTATGATAGCAGTATCACACTCGAGGTTGTGATGGTGTACTGTATATCGTCACGGCCGGATTCAAACACACCTGGAGGTCTGCACACAAGAGTCCTGGCTTTCCTTTTCCTCGTCCTCTCCTGACGACCTCTCATAATTTAATTCAAATGTAATTTTTGGGGAAAATATCCATCTTCTTGGTGTAACGCTATAGTGTCAGTTTGTGTCAGTGTAGTGAGTGTGACAGCTGGTTAATTAACAGCTGTATTTATATTTATAACACCTGTGAGCGGAGTGATTTTACTGTTACATGTCCCAGTGATGTTATACTCTATATCAGCACTCACGGAATGCCTCTCATCCAATCAGATTACTCGGTTGGAACTAACTGTTGTATAAAATCATTTAACAAAATCAGTTTTAGGAGAAGCTGCTGCCTCTTTTCTGACGTGCTTCTGTTCATGAACAGACTGAACGCCGTCACGGTGCGTTCATTAAATGTGGTTATTTTCACCACAGAGCGACTTTGCTTTACCTTTCACTTGATGCTGTCTGTTTTGGTGTTTCTCTGCAGCAAACAGGAAGTTGAAGTACATCAGTCTGGCGGTGCTGGTCGTCCAGAATGCATCGCTCATCCTCAGCATCCGCTACGTCCGCACGTTGCCGGGCGACCGCTTCTTCGCAACGTCAGCCGTCGTCATGGCGGAGGTCCTGAAGGTCCTGACGTGTCTGCTCATCATCCTGCTGCAGAAGAGATGTAAGCGGATTACACACACACACACACACACACACACACACACAGTAATGAGTGTGTGTATGATGTGCTTTAGGTGTTAAAGTGTAAAAGATGGATATTTTAATTAATCCCAACTTGACTCTGACTGAGAACAAACAGTAACACCCTGTCTCTCTGCCTGTCTCTGTCTCTCTGTCTCTCTGTGTCTGTCTCTACAGTCAATGTGAAGGAGACGGTGTTGTTCCTGGTGGACTCCATCTTGTTCCAGTACAAAGACACTTTGAAACTAGCCGTCCCGTCACTCATCTACACTCTGCAGAACAACCTGCAGTACGTGGCCATCTCCAACTTGCCAGCTGCCACCTTCCAGGTCAGACTTCATATCGTCCATAACGACATGTTAGCCTGTCTCTCAGTTCTGTCTGACTCTCAGCTCTGATTGGTTCAGTTCAATCAGTGATGTCATCAAACAGCTGATCACTGTAGTTTTTATAAAACAAACAGGAGGAAATAGTGACTTGGTTGGAAACTATAACTTCCATCAGTACACTGCACACACTATGTACTTATTTCACCGTGTGCAGATTCTGACAGGGTCTCAAATCAAACATGGCCGGTAGTCTGAACAGAAATGGAGGTCACAGGATTTGACTGGCTGCCGGTCATGAGGCTCACACGGCCCCTGTTAGGAGATTCACTCATGTTGGGCTGAACATGAAGAAACATAAAGAATATATCAGCTGATTTCTGTGATTGAAAGATAAACTCAGTCTTTAGGTGCCAAGCAGGGCAGCTGTCATTGTTTCAGACCGACGCAGTTTTTATTTTCATGGCCAGCAGCCATGTTGTGTGAGTAGCAAGTGTACTTGTTCCCATCCGTGTGCACATGGGTGTGTAGGTGTTAAAATGAGGTGTGTCTGTGGCATTTTCCTGCTATTTAATGGCCGCATTATTCAGACGTAAGATAAGCTGACATGGGCGGGATCACAGTGTGTGTACACTCTGCTTGTTACACACACAGGGACGTGTTGATGGGATGTAGGTGGGTGAAATAATCTGTCACTAATGAGGAAAATATGAATGTAGCAGAGATCAGAGAGGAGCAGTGTTACTGCACTGATTATATCAGACGCTAAAAGTTTAGTTCTGTTTTCTCTGTCGACTTTATAACGACCGTTTTTAGTGTTAATATTTACTGCAGTGACATCACTGCTGCACTCTGCTCCGATTGGATGGAACCACCTTGTAAAAAGCAAGATACCCTGATTGGTTCAATTCATGTTACACTCTGAAGCTCCACAGCAGATTTTAACCCCTTACTGTCCCACAGACTGTTACACATGTCCAGACATGATGAACTAACGACTCCTCTGTCGTCTCTGATCAGTTTATGTTTTCTACAAGTGTTTTATACACAGTGAGCTCCTGAAGACACATCTCTGTCTGTGTCGATCAGTTTTTCACTCAAAATCATTCAGTTCATTCTTTTAACCTCAGAAAAACCTGTGTAACATGTTTATTCTCTGTGATGTTGTTTTCTACTTTGAGTGTGAGGCTTCATGATATGGTCAAATCAAATCACGTTTATTTATAAAGCACATTTAAAAACAACCAGAGCTGACCAAAGTGCTGTAAAGAACATGTGAGTCAACATCAGATAACAATTAATCAAAGAAATCAGCATCATGTAGGGCAACAAGGACCAGTTAAGGACAATCAAATGCCAGGGAATACATATGAGTTTTTAGTTTTGCCTTGAATATAACTACAGTGGAGGCACATTGTGTTTTCCAGCTGACACCTCCCAGTTCTCCCAGTTCTCCCAGTTCTTCATCTGCAGCAGCTTTGTTCAAGAAAAGATTCAGCTGAAGATAACAAAAAAATATATTTTGGTGTGTTGAAACTTCTTTATCTCAGTGACAGTACCCCTTTTTAAACAGGAGTTGTGCAAATTTGCAGGAAAGCCCAATCAGTGTTTTTTCAGCATTGGCAGTATAAAAACAAAATGCCGCCTACCTACTTTTGTTTATACAGAATGTGCCTTTTTTCGGGGCAATGGGGGGCGTGAGCAAGTAACAAAACGTGTAGCTCAGCGTGTGACGTAAACAGTGACGTGGGAGGGAAGCCGCGGCTGGTCAGTCCTTCTGTGATTCTCTCGTAAGTCGGCCCGTTCTTCACCGTCCCCGTCATCTGACGGTTAATGGCCTCTTCGTTTGCGAGGACAAGGAGGGCGCTCAATTCCTTGTCTCCCCAGTTGCTCATCTTTACAGTGTCTGTCAGGTTTGTGTTTCCCTCTTGGATCAACTCGCCATTCCACCTCTGTGTGTCTGCCAATGCTGAAAAAAGACTGATTGGGCTTTGCTGCAAACTTGCACAATTTCTATCTAAAAAGGACAGTGACTGTGACTGTTGGGTAAAAAACTTTTGAGTGTGACCTTTCAAATGAGACCACGTCTGTACATGTACTAAAGGTGGAACAAGAGCGCTCAGTTTACTTCCTGTCTGAGGACATGGGGAGGAGTTTAAGGTGAATTTTACAGTGGAGTTGGACACGCCCTCACTGACCATGACGAGCTGTAGATGGTGTATATCGGGCCTTGAGTGTGGAGTGTGTGTGTGTTTCCTCTCAGGTGACGTACCAGCTGAAGATCCTCACCACAGCTCTGTTCAGTGTGTTGATGCTGAGGAAGTCTCTGTCCAGAGTTCAGTGGGTTTCTCTGCTGCTGCTGTTTGCTGGAGTCGCCATCGTACAGGTACGTCCGCTCACCTGCAGCTCACCTGTCACCACTGTTTACCTCACAGCTTCTCTCACTTTACAGATGCAGATTACTGATAAATGGTGATGTATCATTATAGATGAGTCAGCTGGATATAAAGTCATTAAAATGAGCTCCATCTAAACTGATCGACACACTAATGCATCAATAATTAATAATGTTAATATAAACTATGGTCTGGATGAAAGCACAGTTCTGATTGGCTGCAAGGTGTATATTAATTTCTGATACAGGACACTTCATCAGGCAGTGTCCTGTATAATTATTCTGAAATGAGCCGTTCTGCATGAGGAGTCTGTCGCTGCCTCTGTTGGTATTTTGCTTATTGTGATGTCATTTCTTTGAGGATTTTCAAATGCTTCATATTCCTAAAATCTGTACAACCCAATAGCTCATCAGACGTTCCTATCAACCTGTGTCTCTGCTCCTCTGGCGCCACTGCACGTTTCACTGCCGCCTGTAGCTTAACTTCATGACATCATCACAAGAGGACAACGTGATGGTGCAAAAGTCAGAAGACTCAACTTTCTGCTGCAAGAAGAATGAACGCTCTAGCTTTCATACTTTTTTATTTAAGATTGATTTTAAACAGGATCAGGTCTGTTATCAGAGGGTTAAATATGTTTTAATGCCATTACTTTTGTACTTTTACTTAAGTTACATTTTGAATGCAGGACTGTAACTTGTAGCAGAGAATTTCTACTCTCTGGTATCAGTACTTTTAAGTCCCGTTTCCACCGAGCAGTTCAGTTCAGTTCAGTTCAGTTCAGTTTAGTACAGTATTATTTTCCATTCCCACAGTAAAAGTTGTGGATGGTCCCAACAGAAGCGTTCCTCAGCGTCCCCATGTTTGGTCCCCCCTCTGTTGGGGTACCTAGCACACAGATCTGGTACTAAAAGGTGGAGCTAGAAACCCTGCAGTCTGATTGGTCAGTAGAGGACGCTCACTCTGGTTTTATGTAACCTCTGTTCATACATCAGTAAACTACAACTATAAAATGAAAGAGAAAAAAATAACTTCATTCACTGGGCCGACTGCCGGCAACTTTTAAGGTGGAATGTTAACTTGTAATGTTACTCAATGCATGAGTTGATGACGTGAATCCATCAGCACACCTTAAATTTCACTGTGACAACTTTGACCATCACTTTAGTTTTTATATGACACACACTTTTAGTAATGACTTTAAAAATATAGATTAATTAATAGATTAATATTCTAATCCTCACTTCCTGTGGGCTACAGCAACACTAAACCCCTGAGCTTGCCTGAGAAGGACTAAATGCACAAAGCTGCTATTTTTAAATATCCCATGGAGAGAGACTCTCACTGCAGCCTGTTCTATTTTGTTGTGAAAATGTGGGCGTGCAGCCTCGTTCTGTGGACGATAAACCAGGTGCAGACTTCCATCTGTGTCACCGCTGATGAGGAAATACAGCGAGTGCTGGACGGAGCAGTGAGTGACAACAACCCCGCCCACATTTAAGAGGACTGTCTGAACACACCGAGGGTCTAGGTACCATGTCTGAAGGCTTACTGCTGGTTCCATAGGTTCTGGACTGAAAGGGTTTGGTGGAGACGAGTCTTTAGGTGATGTGAAGGATCTGAGCATTTCTTCCTCGTCTTCATTCTGCAGCTCATTGGTTTAAAACAAAACTTAGTTTATTCACCAATGAAATTATTGATCAGATTTTATTGGTTGATGAAAACTTAAAAACGTCTCTTCACAGTTTTCAAAGTTTTATTTTTAGTTTTAAATGTCATGTTTTTTTTCCACTATGAAAAGTTATCTGAACGATCTGATAGATGTTATTGATCCTCTCAGGTGCAGCAGGAGGGGAAGAAGGAGGCGTCGGTGTCGGGCAGCTCCAACCAGAACTACACGGTTGGTTTGGTTGCCGTGGTGATCAGCTGCCTGTCATCAGGGTTCGCCGGTGTTTACTTTGAGAAGATCCTGAAGGGGAGCTCAGCGTCCGTCTGGATGAGGAACGTGCAGCTGGGGATCTTTGGCATGGCGCTCGGCATGTTGGGACTGTGGTGGAATGACGGCGCCGCCATCGCAGAGCATGGCTTCCTGTTCGGCTACACCGGCATGGTGTGGTGCGTGATCTTCAACCAGGCGTTCGGCGGGCTGCTGGTGGCCGTGGTGGTGAAGTACGCCGACAACATCCTGAAGGGCTTCGCCACCTCCTTCTCCATCATCGTCTCCACGGTGCTGTCCGTCTACCTGTTCGGCTTCCACGTGGACCTGCTCTTCACGGCGGGGGCGGGGCTCGTCATCGGCGCCGTCTACATGTACAGCCTCCCCAAAGCGTCCGGCGGATCTTCGTCCCCGAGCTCCTCCTCGTCTTCCTCGGCGTCTTCTGCGTCGCCGAGGACAAATGGAGGCGCTGAGATGGAAATGGAGGAGTTTCTGCCAAAGTCAGTGCTGGTGAAGTGACTCCTCCCCCTCTCTATCTCTGTCTCTGTCTCTCTGTGGCGTCTCCTCCCCCTCGCTCTCTGATGGTTTCCTGACTCCACCTCCTCCTCAGCTCCTCCTCAGCTCCTCCTCAGCTCTTCCTCAGCTCCTCCTCGCTCCTCCTGACCCTCTGACCTCCTGCTTCTTTTGTCCAAACCTCCCCCTGAGCTCATAGTTTCCTTCTGACATCATCACCACCTCCTAACTTTTCTCCCAACCTCCTCCTGAGCTCCTGACCCTCTGCTCACCTCCTCTGCACCTCCTCCTTCCTGAGCTCCTCTCGTCCTCCCCTCAAACTTCACCTGACCCTCTCCTAACTTCCTGACTTCCTCTGGACTTCAGGACATCCTGACCCTCCTCTGACCTCCTCTTCACTTCCTCACTGATTTTGTGACCGTCTCACCCTCTCCTGACCTCCTCTCCTCCCTCTGGCCTCCTGTTCACCTCCTGCTTTTCTGACCAAAGGAGTACAGGATCTCCTCTTGACCTTCTCCCGATCACCTGCTTACCTTCTCCCAGTCTTGTATGGACCCCCTGACCTCCTGCAGACCTCCTCTATATCCCTCTGTCACCTCCTCACCTCATCCTGGCTCAGTCTCTGAGCTCCGCTGAAGACGAAAAGGAGGAGAAGACTTTTTATTTCCCTCCTGTTTTTTCTTTCCTGTCTCTGCTCTCCATCACAGGCTCTTCAGCTCACAAGAAGACCTCCTCACCTCCCTTTTCTTCCTCCCGTTCTGAAAAGAGGAGCGCCCAGACTGACTTTACTTCTTTCCTGCTCCTCTGCTCTAACTCGGAACTGGCTCCTTCTGACTTGAGAAGGAGGAGGAGGTGATGAAGGAGAGCAGGGCTCCTAATGTCTGGTTTTAACTCTGCTTCTCCACCTGAACACTAACCTCTCCTCTCTCCTCCACCTCAGAGCTCAGGGAGGCGTCGCATCTCCTCCTCCTGCCGTCCACTTCACAGACTAACTGCTCAAAGCACAACAGGAGGAGGAGGAGGAGGAGGAGGAAGGAGGAGGAAGAGCCCTGACCACCTGTCTGTCTGTCTGTTTCCTGTCTTGCCCTCTCTGCCTTAAAACTCTTAACTTTACTAACTGAGTGAAAAGAGGAAAAGCCTTATTGATTATTGATCATATATTGACTATTGTTGCTGGAGGAGAATCTGCAGATCGATCAGATACTGATCAGATGAATGTTTTCACTGTGCAGCCGTCGGCGGGTTCATCAGCTCACTGAAATGTTTCTGCGTCTGGCTGCATCACATATTTATCACCTTTGTATAAAGACTGTAATTAATTATTATTTTCATTATCAATCATCTTTATTATTTTTGATAAATAAATAATTTAAAACAGTCACAGAACTGTAAAAAATATCTCAGAGTCCAAAGTGACGTTTTCAAATGTTTTGTTTTGTCTGACCAACAGTCCAAAACTTAATTACTCAGTTTACTGACACATAAAAAAACTGACACATTTAAGATTCTTAAATAACTTAAATGATTTCTTTGTTGCTGGAACAATCAGATTTACTATTTAATGTAGAACATTAAAAGATTTCACAGTTTTTGTGTCATAACAGGAGTGATTTATATTATATTGATTTATATTTATGAGTTCCTGTTTTGTTTTTTTTCAGCTTCAGAAATCATTTCATCCTCTGAGTTCCAAGTTTTACTTTAGTGTCATACACATGAAAAATAATAATAACTTTATTTGTATAGCTCAGTTCATACAGCGAGTGCAACTCAAAGTGCTTTACAATCACACATCAACAAAAAAAGCGCATTAGGTTTGATACTGATCAGTTCAATAAAAGCTTCATAAATGCATCTTCCTGGATCTGTCGGCCCTTTCAAACTATATTTACGTAAGAAACAAATCAAAGACAACAACAACAACAACAACAACAACAACAATAATAATAATAATAATAATAATAATAATAATAAATGCTACAGTAATAAATCACTGAGTTATTTTAAACAGAATAAATCCTCAAACATCTTCCTCTCTCGTCATGAAGTCCAAACAGCTTCAGTCTGTTTCCAGCAGACCACCGAGCACTACGACCCTGTGTACTAACTACTAACTACTAATGTCCACAAAAAAGGAGACAGAATTTCCCAACAAGTCGAGACAAGAAGCCTTTAACAGAGACGACACTGAGCTTCATCCTCTGAGGCTGAAACGTGAAGCCCAAACCTGCAGTTCCTCTAATGTCCACTTGAGGCTGGCTCCAACAGTGAGTTAGTCCCCACAGACCTCCATGTTCACATGTAGAAATAAACATGTTTACAGCCTGGTACAAAAACAGTTTTGGTCTCTAGAGATAATTTCCCACTTTGTGATAATTGTACAGGAGCGAGATCAGATCCACAGCTCCGCCCTCTCGCCCAAATATGGTAATGCTGAACTAGAGGCTTTAAAATGAGAGTTAACAAACCAGTGGGTGACGTCACAGTAGCTACGTCCAACCAACAACCAAAAACTAACATTTTTGACCTTGAAGAACGGTCAATAGATGTCGTTGTGTGTTATCATGTAGCCGTTATTAAAAAAGGCTTTTTAACTTTCATAGCTGCACTGTTCGGGAAATTCATTCACATTTTGTGGATATTAAGTGAATTAATTCAGGGACTGTTCTTTATTAATCGGAGGACGGGTGCGGCTGGGGTGTGAGGGTTTTTTGTTTGTTTGTTTTTTGACCTTTGAACCTTGAATATTTCTCGTTGACCCTCCCTGAGTGATGGGAGGGAAATCCATGACCCTCCTCCATAAATGAGTTATTAGATTTCTAAAACGTCAATCGAATTTGTTCAGATTTGGTTATTTTTTTTTTGTTTTTGTTTGTTTTCAGATGGAAGCGTCCGTCACACATGATGTGGCCAAGGACCGTCGGAAATTTGAATATCTAACCATAATTTCTGTTTTTACAGTTTCTGGCTGATGAGTGGTGTAACCACCAAAATCTGGACGGCATGTTTTCTTTAAACACACCCCCCTCATAAATAAGGAACAGTCCCTAAGATATTTTGCCACCTGATAGTCACAGGACACAGTGACTGTAGATTTGTGATTTTAGCATCAGTTCAAAAACCTTAAAGATTGTTAAAGTTCAGAGAGTGATCAGCTGACCTGTGAGAGTGCGTCTGTGTCAGTGCGCGGTGTCATAAGTAACTCAGCACCAGGCCGCATCAAAACGTCTCCCGTCAAACGATGATCGATCCTCTCGCTGCCCAAATCTAGAACAAAAGATAGTTTGTGTGGTTTTGCTGGCGGCCAATCACAGCAAGCGTTCTTGGATTTAATGTGATGTGTGACGGGCCCACTGCAGCAGCAGCAGCTACAACACACACAGTCTGTGAGGTGGTGACGTCGTGTGTTTAACTGCAGTTTAGCACCGATAGGCCACCAAACATTCAAAGGTGTGGCTGTGCGACACAGCTGTGGCGTCTCGTGGCTTTTTATGCACTTTTTTTTTTTTTTCCTTGAGATTACGAGGTGGAATTATGACATCGTTATTACTGATCTCATTTGGTGTTGATCATTACTGATGACATCAGTGAACCATTTCAGCTGATCGATCAGACCGAACGAATCGTTAGAAGAGTCACTTTTGGACTAAACGTGGGCTTTACGGTGTTTTTGACATTTCTTAGGATCAATGATAGAAAAATAATCTTTATTATAATCAGTAATAATAAGTATAATATATAATAAGTAATAATGTAATCAAAACATATCATTAGCTGGATTTATCTGACAGAGTTTCAGCTCTTTATCAGCCTATGACATCATCTTTTACACAGAATGTTTTTATTTTTTAAATTGATAATGATTGATTATTGTTGGCGTGGAGCTGCTCAGTGAAAACATGTCACAGGTCAAACTTGGCTTCCTGTTGGCGTCCACGTTGAGACGTTTGTGTTCGGTGCCTTTCCTTCTCATCTGTACAGAAGCCATAGGATTGTGTCGGTGTGACGTGTACAGTCGGTTCACACACAACAGCTGGAACTCTAAAGTCTTCACACAGGAGGGGCGGCGGCCTCATCACACTGAGACACTGACCTCAGATCAGCCGCAGCTGTGACGGGACTGTGCTCTCTGAGCCGAGCAGCTTTTTAACAATGAATGAATCATAATGACTAACGTTTGTCCTGCCGCGGGCGTCCTGAATGTTTTTCTGTCGGTACGACGGGCGACTCAGTCGGTCAGAGACAAGTCGTGTTCGTCCGTCGAGCTGCTTCCTGTTGTTTACGTTGCTGATTGACTTTGGGAGGAAAGTTTGAGTTGTTTTTGTCTCCATGTCGCTGCAGGAGGTGACGAACACCTGAGCCCCAGAGTCTGGTTATAATCCAGCACGTTAAAGTGACAAACCGCCTGAATCCTCCAGGTCGACACGAGTCTTAAACATTCAGTTGAAGGCAGCACATATATAATTACCTGATCTCTTTCAGGCCCCGACTTATTGTCTTCACCCTCAAGTATTTTCTCAGCTTATTGATGAAGAGTTTCGTCAATAAAAAAGCAGAAAATCGTGAAATTTGCAGTTGTTGATGGTCCGAGGTGACGTCCTCACGTCCTGTTGTATCGACCTGCCGTCGGAAAGCCCCAAATATTCAGTTTTCTGAGAAATAAAACCAAAAGTAGAAGATCAGAGCAGCAGGAACCAGAAAGTGTCTGACATTTATGTTTGGAGAAAAGAGAATAGTTTCAGATTATTTTCTGACTAATCGACGTGCTGCAGCTTCAGGCCTCTCGATGATGTGAGTCAGTCCAGTTTTAAGCAGCTAGTGTCTGTTAACTTTCTGTGGGACTCACAAACAAAATGATTTCTTTAATATTGAAGTTTATTTAGTGACGTTAACTCATTGTTTGCTCAGATATTAAGTAAATATGAAAGTTTATTGAAACCCACATTCGAAACCGACACAAAAAACCCTGAAGTTTCTCTTTAGGAACTTTTTAATTTTAGTTTAAATTGCAGTACTTTGCTGTATTGACTTTTTCCCCACTTCTACTGATTAGAGTCTGCAGGCATCAACAGAACACCAGAGAGGACGACGTTAGTTTCTCAGTGATCATAAAAACATTACTGTGGGATCTCAAACACGAACACACACGAAGACTAACTGAACCTGACCGGTGCTTTGTCACTGGACCCCTGTGCTTCTCATAAAGAAGGAGAAGAAGCTATACTTTATTAATCTCTGAGGGAAAATTAAATTTTTGCTTACATTATATAGAGAGATGTCAGAGTGAGGGGGCTGCCTTGGACAGGCGGCCCAAGCAGTGAGGGCTTCATTGCCTTGCTCAAGGGCACCTCGGCAGTGCCCAGGAGGTGAACTCTCCAGCTACCAGTCCATGCTCTATATGTGGTCCATACAGGGACTTGAACTGACGACTTACTGGTTCCCAACCAAAGTCCCTATGGACTGAGTTACTGCTACCCGATGGACTGGCCGTTATGAACACCATGTGTGAGCGTGGGGTGGTTCATGGGTTTGGACCAAAAGTAAACTGGTTCAGAACCTGAAAAGTTGATTTCTAACTGGAACCAAAGAATTGCAGGTTTTCCTCGACCTGAAGTGCGAATAATAACGACATCGGTGGCGTGTCACATTGTGCAGGTTGGAAACAGACGACGGAGAAGTTGAGTGAAAAAAAAGAGGAGTGCAGCGGTCTCATTAATATTCGGTCTATGCTCGTTCTTTTTGGTAAAAACAAATAATGTTTGTTCTGGGGTGGTTTGTAGCTGAGTGTGAAGCGGGCGGGATGAGAGTCTCAGTCTGAGGTCATGGTTCTCTGACGGAGAACGGTGGATTGTTCCCTCTGTGTTGGGAGAAAGTTACTGCCCCAGGCGTAGAGTTCTCTGGGTCTTATTCACAAGTAAGGGTGAAATGGAGCATGAGATGGACCGGCGATTTGAAGCTGTTACCGCAGAGATGTTGGCGATGGGCCAGACCATTGTGGTTCAGAGGGAGCTGAGCCAGAAGGCAAAGCTTTCCATTTCCTGGTCCATCTGCGTCCCAACCCTCACCTATGGTCATGAGCTCTGGGTAGTGACTGAAAGAATGAGGTCACTGATACAAGCGTCTGAAATGAGTTTCCTCTGTAGGGTGTCTGGGCTCAGCCTTAGAGATAGGGGGAGGAGTCAGACATCTGGAGGGAGCTCGGAGTAGAGCCGCTGCTCCTTCATGTTGAGGTGGTTCAACATCTGATCAGGATCCTCCTGGTCCAGCTGGTAGGAGGCCCCGGGGCAGACCCAGAACACACTGGAGGGATTATAGATCTCATCTGGTCTGGGAACACCTCGGGGTCCTCCAGGAGGAGCTG